GTTTAATTGATGCATTTGCAGCAGCAAAAGCACGAAAGGTTCATATAATGTAACCGTGAATACCAGAATGCTACCTGTACAAGATCTAGTTAAGTCTAATAAAGTTTGTTATTTGTAAACTTAAGCAGTATTTTATCAATCTGTTTTATAATCCATGTACACCACAAGTGACTGGCTTCTCATATAAAACGTAAGTTTCAAAACTAGGGATATAACAGAAATTTATTCTGCATGCTTGAAAGATTACTCTAGCTATGTGACTTTGAACAATACTGGATGACATAAATATCAAAATGGTTTACAAATTATGTAAGTACACCTAGTAGGCTATACTTCATTACTTCCAGGTTTACAGTTGTGATATCGTGAAATGTTATATTGTGACTTTATTTTAGGCCTGTGTAAGGCGGTACTTAATTATTTTTGTTATTGTCATTACGTGGGTAATGAGTCACAAAACAAATAATCAAAACATTTCAGAGGTGGGGGCGCCAAAAGTGTCTTTGCCCCAGGGTGCTGAGAACCCTTGCTACGCTACTGCATTATTTAACCTCAATTTTTAAGTATTGGCTTTTGCCAGTTTTTATTTTTTGACAGAATATTTTTTAACCAATGTATAGACTTAAACTTCAAATCTTGACAGTTTTCCCCATCAGTGCATACAGAATTTGGCAGATCTAGTCACATAACTTTATTAGGAAACAAGTTTTCCCATTTTGGTAGTGATAGAGTTGAAAAAATAAATAAATATTTTTTAGTATTGTTACTACTTACGTTTGTACCTTCTACTTTAAATTTTGACACATTTCAAATACAACAATTTACAACTTAGATAACAAGGGATCACTTGGCACTACAAAACTGTTTCTACATTGCCACCCCTGAGAGAAAGTAAATATTTAGATCCTCCTTTCATTTTTCAGGTAATCATCGATTCTTAAACTCTTATAAGGTACTGGTCTCTACTAATACCATTGGTAACTCAGTTTTAAGCTACTGATCTTTTTAGAGAAGTAAAAATCTTAATTAATTCCAAACATGACTTTTTCCAAATCTTAAGCTCCCCTCCTCACATCTTCAGAATACAACACAAAAAAATCAGGTCTTTATACCACTAATCTGTCATGAGTGGCTTTTCTTTGCATGTGTGTGCACACAGGAATACAAAGCCAAGTTTTATCTGAGCTGCTCATTTCAAAAAACATTAAAAGGCATTAATTTCTTTTACCTTGACTTTTAAACAAAGCTTACAAAAAAAGATCTACTCTGATTGTGAATAATATACTTAGAAGTCAAAACATATTTATTAAAAAATAAAGTCGATAGCTGAGAAATTTGCATACATATGTAGCTGTATTTATCATATCAAAAGCTAAAATTCTTATTGAAAGAGCATAAGAACAAAAATGGTTACTTAGAATAAATACACTTTAACATACAAAAGTAATCTAAGCTTATCAACTGTAATAGTAACGTCAGCAACAAAGGGAAAACATGTTTGATAAAATGTTTTTGTTCATATTAAATGTAGGATATTATCATCTTTTCATCTACTTTAATTTACAATTATTGAGAATAAAGTCGTTAATGAAAAGTAGTGTTTATCTCAACATGTGAAAAACATGACAGCCAAACACAGTAATTTAATAACAATCAATTGGACCACTTGATACTACTGTGTGATCTCCAGCTGGTTGATGGATAAAGTCCTGTACTCTCAACACTTCTTGATTCTCATTATAATCACAATAATAGTTTCCTATTTAACAGTGCAATACCACTCTGAAACTGGGAAACAGATACTCAACTTGTTTTTTTTTCTTTTACTGAACTTTCAAACTGATGCATGTGACAGTTCTATTTGGAAAGTGATTCATAGTTTCATATCAAGATGACTTTTTTTTTAGTTAGTTGTGGAAAGTCCAGTCACTTTATTAGTAAATGTGCAGTCTTTCATATTGTGATAAATTTTTAAAGATTAAATATTTCAACATTATATCCATTAGAAAAAAAAAGCTAGTGATTTAGAATATCTAGAAATCAAATGAAATATATAAATCTTTGGTTAACTTGTGATACAACTAAAACATATACATTAAACATCACTTTCCAGACTTATGAATTTCATGTAAAATATTTCAACCTTGCAAGAGAGTCACTCTAGACTGATGGGTTCTATGAAATATATTCCAAACCCAAAGAAGGAAACACTATCCTATACTGATGAAACACACTACAAACAATGGTGTGTCCATGAAAAATCTTACAATTTGTTAAAAAAAGTGTCTAAACCGACAACTTTCACAAAACATTTTTCAAGTGTTTTCAAAATTGTGACATTTTCAAGAAGTTGATTCCAAGAAATACAAACAGTCTATTACAAGTTTATGACGATGATAGTTGGAGCAAATAAAATGTTACTTTAAAAGTGTGATATTTTTTTTTTCCTTTTGTAATGAATTGAGATCTGTAACAATTTAAAATCTTTAGAAAGTTACAAGGTTCTCTCATAGTTACTTTAGTTATTATGGTTTTAGGTAACTTGTAACTGATATTAGACTTACAAAAACAAGTAGCCCTTAGAACTCACCTACTCGCTAATTACCTGCTTAGTAATTTAATCATTACATATAAGTCTGTTAATGTTGCATATTTAGTGGTAACGATCTATCTACAACTTTTGAGCTGAACACAAACAATTTTTTAAAAGCTGGCTCCAATTATTCATATTAGCAATGGTCAAAAATAAATATGAAAAATGAGTTAACAGATTTTTTATACCATTATGAACTTGCCAATCAAATAGAAATCCAAATATATATATACACATATATGCAGAAATTACATAATACATTACAATAAAATAGTTTTATCTTAATTTCATGAAAGAAATTGTTTACACCTTGTTAGTTTCCGCTACTAAAATCTATCTTATCCAAAAGAGTTGGCACACATAGGTGCTTGCTTCCAAGTCTTATTTTAAATGACGAGTTAAGAAAAAAAATCCCTTGACTTATAAGTCTTCACTAAGTCAAGAAGGAAGGAAGCAGCCTGTAACTCCGGACTACTGTTGATAGGAAGAACCACCAGAGGCGTCTAGCAGCAGCTGACCGCATTATAAGAATCCTCCAAAGCCCCAAGAGAAAAATGAAGTTAACTAGCTGACTAATGACATACAACCTGTGAATAAACCACAGATTATCATCAACTGTAAAGTATTCAAACACAGAAATAAAAAATAATGTACTCTTTGTAATAGCAAATATAACATACAATATTCTGAGCTAATTACACTTGTTATAAGATATGAATATTAGGCCTATTATATTTTTAAACACTATATTCTTTATCTAGTCCGTTAGGGATTTTCAAAGATTAGAAGAAAGTATATTAACAGTATTCCAACCATAACATTTTTGCCACAGCCATTGCAAATGGAACCTAATACTAATGTCTTATGAAAAGTCTAATTAATTATAATTATGCTTTGCCTGCTTGTAAAAGGTGTTCACACTACAACAGTATTCTGAACTGTTCTACAACTTACTGAACACACTATGTTGATATTCTTTGGCAGAGTAGCTTTTATCAATAAACAAATACACTGACTTTTTTAAGTCTAAACTTATTCTATCACACTATGTATTAAACAGGTCTGGCATTTAATCATTTCTATCTGTCAGAAAAAAAACAACTTACTTTAGTGATTAAAGTTTTTCTTAAAATTTTCAATTAAGTGTGAAATAAATTAACAAAATTAAAGCATTAGATTATACCTTTATTTGACTATTTTTTGTGTACTAATAAGAAACAAGCTGAAGAAACGTGTGTTTTACCTTCTAAGACTTCTTCTAGCAGCTGGAAGTGTGGATGGATCCTCTTTTAATAGGTATTTTCTAGATCCCAGTACATAGTCTTCAAAGTATTTTGGCCAGTCAAGGTTTTTAATAGAAAAGTCAAATGTCTAACAGAGGGATAAAAACTGAACATATTAACAATATGTACTATATATATAAAAAATTAAAATGTCAGTCATAAGCATAAACTTTAAAAACAAAACACTGATAACTTATGATGTAACTGGGATAATTTCCGGTGCTTTACATCATAGAAGTAATTTGTTCCTTCTAAAAAATTGCTTCTATATAAGAATATGTTATATTGTGTTCACATAAATAAATGTTTTAACATAAAAAATTTGTAACGAAAAACTGTGTATTCAATTCTGTTTTTTTTAATTATTATTAAAAACTTACTCACCTTTTTCAAGTGTGTGGTAACATAAGAAACCAAGTCAATACAATACTTTAAAATCAGTTGTAACTACATAAATCAGATCAATATATTTTTCACATTTTACATTTGTTTGCTATACACGTAGATTAGTTTATAAATATAAAAATTCACTCATTATTCAGTTGTTTTTAATAATTACTAGATAAATAAATACTTACTTCTTTGTCCTTTCCAACTAGTTGTTTATACAAAGTCTGAACATTGCTATTGTGAAACACCCATTCATGAGTTGTAAAATACTCTAAACAGTTTATAGCTCGATTGAGACGAGAATACAGCTGCACCATTCTGGAAGAGAAACCATATTTATATATTTAATAACTTAAATAACCAATTAATGAATGTCAGGAAGAAATACATTTGAACAATAATGTAGTTGCAGTAAATTAAATAGTTACTTGATAGAAATTTCTAAAATTTTCATTTTAATGATAATATCAATCTTTTTTTTTTCAGTTAATGTGTAATTCAAAACCATGATGGCTCACAAATATCATAATATGTTATTAGTTCTCATTATAAATTGGCATAATTACGTGATTTATATTTAGGAGAACCTACTACGTTTCGATAGAACATTAGTCCGTCTTCTTCGGGTATGAAAAAAATATGTAGTATGTCCTCCCCCAAAAAATAAATCACATCATTCTACTTATAAATCATTATTTGTCAATTTATTATTATATTAGCATAATGTACTTCTATATTCAAGTTATTAGTTCAAGAAAAGCTGATTTATTGATAAAAATATTTTGTTGCCAAGATGTATATTTAAAAATGGAGAAAAAATTTTCCTTCTAATTTAAGCAATTGAACAATGAATATGTTCAGTTCAAGTTTGCAATAATTCATATTATTTCTTTTACTATACATGTTCAAAACTAAATTCAATAAGAAAAGATATGAGAAAGACAAAATCACTTTCCCAATGTTCAACATTTTAATAAATATGAGAGAGAGAGTTGTATTTCATTCGTTAAGAAGGGAAAATAAAGTATTACAATCGTCTAAAAAACCCATTAATCGTGAATTGAATTTTTACAACACACTTGAAACTTGATTAAGCCTTATATGTGTAGCATAAAATATCTATATTACATAATATCTAGCTTCAAGGTTTCTACTGCTAACAGCTTATGAAATGTAATTATTTTTTATTAGAACACTATCTATATGCTAATATTATTTACCAATACAAACTTTACAGCATTTATTATACACATTTTACATAGAGTATAGTTTGACCAGTACTAAAATTACATTATCTATCAGGTTACTTTTTCAATGGAATCCATTGCAAATGTCAATATTGTTTAGACAACAATACAACTAGTATTGTTTTACTGTGACCTGTACAAGTAGAATAGAAGACTACCTCACTCACTAAGACATAAAAGTTTCAAGTGATAATAATAATAATGGTTGCTGATTTTTGTATAGACAGACTGGCATACTAATTCTAGCCTCTATACCACATGTCGGGTGGTTTGGCCAAGTTTCACTGGATGTATATTGTAGCATTATTTGAAAATTTGGAGTATAGTGTTTAATTTAGTGGAAAAATAAATGCTGCTGTGATTGAATCTCATACAATGTGCCTTGTACAATCTAGTGCACAGGTTCTAAATGTCATACTTGAGTCAAGTAATACTTCCTACAGTCATACTCAAGTTATTATAATTGACTTCAATTTTCAAATCTTGAATCTTAAGTCATAAATTTCTTCTGAAAAGTTGCTTCATAAATATATAACTCCAACCTTAAGGTACACCTTACTTCACACATTCTGATCCACAAATTTATTATTTCTCACATACCAATTCTCACTTTTAAGTTGCTTGATAATTCACACATTTATATTGTTATATTACGTGATGTTACTGCACCCATTCAGAAATTCAACCTTAAACTGCATATTACAGAGATTTAAGTACATTGTATTAAAATGATTGACGTGACACCGACAGCAGATATAAAATCCTAGCAGAACAGCAAGTATCAGAACTATGTTTTTACATTGGCATTTCATAAGTAGTGTGATGCCATCAAAAAAATTGATTGCTTTGGGAAGGGTGTGTAATAGCTCTTTCTGACACAAAATATTCATACACTTAGACCATAAAGTATAAGAATTTCTGAGGTGAACATTTTCCTTCAACTTAATAGCATTTGAAAGCAAAAGAAAATGGATCAATTTGGGATGCCAGAACCATTCAAAAAGAGACCTGCAACAAATCATACCCTAACCATAGTAAGAAAAGTGTGGCATCTTGCAACAGATGAAAATCTATAAACACGAAGGTCAGTGGCAAAATATATCTACTAGTCTCAAACTTTTATTTTGTATAGAATATAATTTTTAAGCAATTGCATTGTATTCACTTATACAACAGGCTTTATTATGCAACCTCTTTGCACTATATTTTTTTCACAAGAGAAATTTTTGAATTTCAGAAAAAATTTAGCAAGGAGCTAAATTTATCAATAAAAGGAACTTGATTTTTCCACATTGTTTTTACCTTTCCGAATAATCAGTTTTCAATAATAATTGAATTAATAAAAAACCAATCAATAATATAATACATAACACTGGATGCCAATCAAAGTATTAGAACAATGGACAGACACACAGGCAACCATAAAAAGAACAAGAGATTGGTTGTTATAAATACATCAATGGGTAAATAACAGTGAATTTCATGAACCACACAACAAATAAACATAAACATTTCTTTTTACCACCTTCTTTCAACCAAGATAACCAATTTCTATACCAGTGATGATTTTGATGTTCTATACAAAATGTATGTGCTAAAAGGTTGATAAACATACCTTTCTAGTCCTGGACTGCAATATTTGGAAATAATAAGCATTAATTACACACTACAGCTTATAACTACAGGAAAAAAATTATTACACACAAAACAATGAAAAGCTCTACAGTATTGGAGTTTTCTACAAATCTGAAAATATTTTTCAATATCTCAGTTCATGTACGTAAATCTGTAACTAAAGCATGTAAAATTTTTAAAAGTGTAACTGCAAAACGTTTTTTTTAATTTATAAAAGCACAGATAGAATTTAGTTTTACAATAAATTACAACTAAAAGGTATGTACTGTAGGCAGAAAAGAACTACAAAAAAATTTCAAAAGTATCGCAAAGGATAATATTTTTACATAAAATATCATTTGAATTACAATACACATGTATGAAAAAGTTTATAATATTTGTATATGTCAATTTCATACCTATTGTAAGCTTTTCATAACACTTCTGATATATCCAGGCCTTTATAAGAACAACTAACTAATGTCCCAAATACACTAGAATACTATGTCAGATTAATAGGTTTTAGAATTTGGCATGTCACACAAACACCATATAACTAAATATAATAATATAAAATTCTATTAATAAAAGAAAGAAATTGAAAAATTAGGAAGTTATTAATGATGTTTGTTCAACTGTCATTTTTTTCTGCTTGGTATCTTGTTTTGATTTTTGTTTATTAATTGTTATAGGCTAGTCTGGGAGCAAGATCTTGCATGATGATGATATACACTTTTTTAAACCGTAGGCCCTCAGCCTGATTTCTTTGTGCTCACATTCTAGAGTTCCATTTAATTACTTTTAAAAATAAAACCAACTTAATGGATATAATGAAGTTTGACTTCACTGTGGGAATTAAAACTATTTAACAGCACTGTCTACATTGTGGTAATAGTTTTGATGTTGCCACGGTAACTTCAGTGCTGGATAAAGACTTTTCACCTTGAAAAAATAAAATCTGATTGGAGATAAAGTTTTACAACTGATGTTCTGAATAATTTGATAGTCATAGCTAAAGAAGGGGAAGACAAGGCTTCTGAAGGCTGACCATGGCATAGAGATGGAGGTGGGGGGAAGACTGAAGTATGTATATTAATTTTTCTGTTTTACTTTACTTTACTTACTAGTCAATAATACATATTTATGTCAGCTTTGTTTTTAGTATATTTTGTGACACAAAGTTTTATTTTGCTATTGGTGGATTTTCTTTTATTTATCTTCTTTTGATCATTTAAAAGTGAAACAATTGCATTCCATTCTAGAACACCTTTTTTTTAATGAATTTGTCAAACTTTGACATTTTAAAAATTGCAAGGACTAATTTTTTTAATGCCTATATATAGTGTACATAAAATGTTTAATGTTTTTGCCAGTGTTCATAAAAGAGCTGGGTAGTAAAGCACATAATTATGTGACTATCTAACAGTCTCATGTGCAATATTGTAATTTTCAGTGCTGACAATAATTGGCACTAGTTGTACATCTTACTCAGAAAATAGTGTCCATAAAAGTGACATATATTTACAAATCATGACTCAAACTACACTTACCACACCACACTTCGTGCAATTCATAGTATTTATTAATTATTACTTGTCCTCTATACCTAAGATTACAATGCAGTGAAGGCAGCGACATCATTCCCACTGGCCATGTCCACCCCCAAATGCTTTCCATATACAATTTTAATAATCTCAAGCCCATGTATAAACATCTGATTAAATACGTACATAATATTCGTCATTATTGTAAACCAATAGTTTATTGGTTATTTTGTTTTAGAAAAAAGTCACAATCTGCTGTGTCCACCATGGGAAATCGAACTCTGAACTTTAGCATTGTAAGTTCGTAGACTTACTGCTGTCCCAAGGGGGACATCATTAAATTAATCAAAGTAATAGTGGAAACTTAGTATAAAAAGCAAGAGGCATCCCACTTATTTGCTATGTTCATAAATGATTCATAATGTCCCAAGTTAAAAACAATATTTCAAGTATTATATTAGTTAATTATGTTCAAGAAAGAATATCCAATGTTCAATGTAACACCTGTTGTATAAACGGGCAAAACTTTTAGTTTCAAATACTGAGAGTGATTAGTATGAAAACTGACAGTTATAAGTGAATATTTTGCAAATATATTAATGTTTTTAGCCTCCAATCAGGCAGTAACATGCAGTATGCTATAACCTAAAAAAAATAAACCCTTTTAAGATTATTGATAGTTCCTGATCAAAATTAAAAATTAACTTGAATATCAGTGTATTCAATTCTATATAACAAACTGTTTAGGACCTTATGTAATAAATCAATATATAAAGGAACTAAATCTGCAATATTTAGAATGCATTGAATTTAATATCAGTTGGTAACCTTCACTGTTTATGATGTTTTCAGTTAAATCTTAATAGCAGTCATGAGTTTAAGCTAACTTAAAAATTTAGGTTAGTCTTAAATCCATATACTAAGCTAACAATGCAAAATAATTCTCAAAGTGTAAACAAAACTATCAACAAAAACAATCACAATAAATAACAATATTGAATATTATTTTAAACATTTTAACTGATATCATTTAAAGTAAAAATAGGGTTAATATTAGTTGTGTGCTCTTAAAGTACACACAGTTTATATATATACTTTTAGATGTACTTGTAGAAAGGCACATTCAACAATAAAAACTGAACAAAGATAGAAAAAAAACACTAAAAAACACAACTACCTAGCCAGCTATATATAGAATTATATCGGTTTTCTGTTAGCTCTATTATTTTGCTAGTTCATAAACATTACATGATCAAAAACTCTCGATCTGATGGTTCAAAGGTCATAGCCATAGTTGCTTGTAAGTTATCAATCTTTTAGCCAACTTGTGAAACCACAGAGGTTCTTTTTAAAATAATCTAAAGGAACAATAAAAAGTGATAACTAATAGCATATTTTTACTTTGATCACACACACACACACCATAATGACATGTTAGGTATAAAAACAACATAGGGAGTTCTAGTTTGCATTTTCACTACAGCACTGAAGAGACTTGTTGTCTTTCAATGCTTGGTCACACAATCAGAAAAGAAACATAAAAAAAACTAATTCAAACATGCAAGTTTTGGAAAATATCTCTCAAAAAATATGCTATTGTAATGTGACACACTAAGCAAATGCATTTTGTGGGCTGCACAAAAGTGAGTAACATACACTAATCTAAGTACAAAGTTGATTTACAAGAATTTAAGGAAAGGCTTGATAAATATTTGAATAATAGGAGCTGTCTTTGAGTGTTTTATTTTAGAGTTTAGTATAGTGAATAGGACAGACTAGATGGACAAACACTTCCTTGTTGTTCTTAAATTAAATGTATTAGGCTGTCAAGAAATTAATGTTGCTTTTTTTTAGATGAAAAAACCCGAACAACTTGTATATCATATCAAAACAAAACAGTCTCCATTCTTATCAATGATGCTTTTCCATCATACAATCAGGTTGTTAATGCCCTGATTAAAGAAATCACTTGGCTTTCAAACAAAAAAACATGTCGATGTCCTCTTTAACACCTTCCATATTTGCATATGTTTTCCCATTAAGATGGTGTTGCAGCAAATGAAAAAGATGGTAATCTGATGGTGCCAAATGTGGAGAATATGGTGGGTGGGGGAGAATTTCCCAACCCAACTCCATAATCTTGTGTTGCATCAAACGTGCCACATGTAGACATGCATTGTAGTGGAGATAAAGAACACCTTTCTGATTGACAAGTGAAGGGCATTTCTGATGAAGGGTTTGATTTAAACATTCCGGTTTCTAACTATAGATCTCTGCATTGACATTTGTTGTGAATTGAGGAGTTTGAAATCAATTACTCCTTTGATGTCCCACCAAATGCAAAGCATCATTTTCCGCAGGTGTAGTCCAGGTTTTGGGGTCGTAAGTGTTTTTTTGTCTAGGACTGAGCCATTGTTTTTAGCATTTAATATTCGCATAGAGAATCCATTTTTCATCACCGGTGACAATTCTGTCCAAAAATGGTTCACACGCATTACGCGGCAGAAGAGACAAAACAACGTTCATACGTTGAAAACGATGATAATCAGAAAGTTCGTGAGGCACCCAAACACCTTCTTTATGGAGTTTTCCCATATTCATTAGATGTTTATGTACTGTTTCATGAGAGACATGCAATTTTACAAGAGTGGTGCCTTGGGTTAGACTCAACAAGCATCTTCAGAGCATCAATTTCAATTCCATTATGCCTGCCCTTGCCATCATAGTTTTTAAGGCTAAAGTCACCTGAACAAAATTTGCTGAACCATTGTTGACATTATGAACATTCAAAACATTTCCATAGGTTCTTTGATATTCTTTGTGGCTACAGAGGCATTGTTTCTCTTCTTGTATTCAAAC